AAATTATCTGAATTTCTTCAGGAGTTTTATTAATTACTTTCAAAACATCTTTGCACAACACAACCATAATCACCATCCGCTTCTTCAGTAATTTTTCTTCTGTTTACTAGATTGTTGTCATTATTTTTATTTAATTTTCGTTTTAAATTATTTGCTTTTATTTTTTGTTGTGCATTTACATATTTAGTAGTATAATATCCCGGACTTTTTTGATTTACAGCCTTTTTCAAACAATGTAAATATTTACCTTTAGAATTATATGAAATCAAAGTAGCATTCCCCCGTATTTGGTACTTCAAATTTAAATTTATTTAGAAACAGCAAATAGGAAAATAAGCCTCTTCTCTACCTACATACCTTCAAGCAATAAACAGTATTTTGTTATGAAGACAATAAGTACTACTTTTGTAAACTTCATCATATCAGTAACTACCCCTAACGGATAAAAAAACCCATAGCAGGTATCCAATAGGAAAAAAGGGCTTCAAGTTATTCCTAACATTTCTGTATAATAATTAGACTTAATTTTTGGTGAAAAATAGAATTATCTGGTGTAAAAATTGTCTTATTAAATTTATTCATCTTTTACATCAATTCTTAAAATGACCTAATTTTACAGCTTGTACTTTTAGTTGTTTCCTTATAGATGCGAAACATCCCTTGTAAGGTCATAAATCAGATAAAACCGGTGATGGGGGTCTGCTTAGGGTAAGCTCAGTTTGTTGTGAAAAAGAACTAGGGTTGAGAGAGACAAGACGATTTTCACACTACGAAAGTTAATAATATTTTCCACAAGAGATTTTACAGTTATTAATTATCCGAATGATTTCATTTTTTTTCTTAAGGTCTTTGGTACATGTAGGAAGGACATTGTTAGTTTCCATATAAATACTATAATTTTATTATAAAAAATAAGTTAAAAAATATATAAAAATTAAGAATTTAAATTAGCTACATAACAATATCCCTAGAAATATCTAAAATGGTTTCATCAAAAAAATAAAAACCAAAAAATTCCTTATAATAGCCGAGAAAAACCTTTTCGAAAAATGCATTGAAATTCCCTATCTTGGCAAACGATAAGTTAAGCCTTAAATTAAACTGAGTTGAATCAAAGGCTACTAGGAGTAAACATTTCAAAAAAAAAACTACCCCTAACTCAAAAACGAATAGACAAAATATTTTTTTTACAAGTTTATCTAACCGTAAGGTTATATAAACTTTTTTCCCCCTTTCCAAAAATGTTTCAAAAAGTTGGGGGGTACTTTTTAAAATTTTAAAGTAAGGGTGGTTAGTGACTAGGAGTTTTGAACTTCTCCCATCGCAACCCAAATTGACATATTTTTTATTTAACTTAAATTGACTTGAATCAAAGGCTACTGGGATTAAAAATTTTAAGAATTAAACCACCTCTAACTAAAAACAAATCGACAACAAATTTTTTCTTCGAGATTTAGATACGCTGATTTTTTCCCTTTCCGAAAACGTTTTAAAAAGGATGGGGTGCCATTTAAAATTTTAAAGTATTGGTGGCTAGCGACTAGGGGATGAAACCTAAAATGTAACTAATGTTGGTTTTGGACGATCCTAATCGATCTGTTTTTGCTTAAAAATACATTTACTCAATGTCAAAAGTTATTGAGACTGGCTCCTTCTGAAATGAAAGCCTTGTATGACAACTACTTATTACGTACCTTCTGTACAAAAGTACCGGGAAATTTTAAATAAAATAGTACTACGTTATTTTTGATCAATTTTTATTTCATTCCCTGTAAAGTAAACTCTATCTGACGTAACACGCATATGCCAACGTATTCAATCATCAAAACACTTCTCATAAACAGCGGAAGGTATGGCTTTCAGTTCTTTCTGCGAATTTTGTTTTATGTTTTTTATGGACTCAAAACGCCTTCCTTGCGAGGCAATTTAAGTTTAAAAAATGGGAAAACGTCACATAGGGCCACGTTAGCTAAATACGATGCTTGATTGATGACATTTGTTGAGTTTGTAGCCAAAAGCTTGTGTAGGATTGTCGCTTTGTGTGCAGGCGCAATGTCATGGTGCAAAATCCCAGAGTTGTTTTTTCACAAATCTGGTCTTTTCCAGCGAATATTTTTTACAAACATTTTACAACAGCTAAATAATATTACTCTTAAACCTAGGTGATGATTTTCAGTCATGAACTCTTTGATTTTCTTTACATTTTGCATCGTCTTTGTTGTTGACGATCGTCCAGAACGAGGAAAGTCGGTAAGCTCTTTCCGGCCCAATTGAAATGTTTTGTACCACTCATATGTTTGTGTTTTTGACATACATGAGTCCCCAAAGGTTTTTTACAAAATTTTCAAAGATTTACTATACGAATTTTTGTTGGCAACACAAAAACTCAAGGAAATTCTCTGATCGGTAGTGGAGTTCATGGCGAAAATCGCAAGTCGGACTTAACCACAAGTTATGGTAAAAACAATTTTAAACAAACAACTTGATCAATAGCGGTAAAATTTGGGACAAGAATTATTAAGATATCTTCCACGTGAACTCTTTCATACTTTTTCACAGAGTAATACCTACAACATTTGCATTATTTCAGGGCTTTTCTATTTCGGTGTTGTCGAGGTCCAATGCCGGCACGAAAAGGGCTTCTAGCGCCTCAGAACACCTTCTTGGATACCATTGCTACACGCTTTGATGGAACGCGTAAGTTACGTCGATTGTGTGTATGCCGTGTCAAAATAGTGAAATTGTAGTTAACCAACTAATGTTAAAAATGTTTTTAGAAAATATGAATATAATGAAATATTTTTAGATAATTATCCTACCTGTTTCAGATAGCAACTTCGTTTTGGGAAATGCACAAGTTCCATCTTTGTATCCCATTGTATACTGCTCAGATGGTTTCTGTGAACTCACAGGCTACGCTAGAGCTCAAATCATGCAAAAGGGATGCGCTTGCAAATTTTTGTACGGCCCGGAAACTAAGGATGAACACAAAGCTCAAATAGACAAGGCTCTTGAATCGAAAGTCGAGCTTAAATTAGAAGTTATATTTTACAAAAAGAATGGTAAGTTGTTACAATCTGCCCCAAATGTACAGATGATATTTTATGTTTCTTGCTTTGCAGTTGTTTGCAATTTTGTTACACAACAAAGAATAGATTGGTCTAAATTTTATCTGTTAATAATATTTTACAACTAATAAAATCCTTCTATGACATTTTGTAGTAGCGAAATAATAATATGTGTTATCGTAAACACCGAAAAGTTGAATTTTAGGCTAGTATTTTCCAAATGATTTGTTTTTATTTTTTAAGAATTCATGAAATAATAATGTATGTACTTATCTAATATTTTTAGCAAAATTATTTTTTGTGTGAATCGGTCTTTAAATTAAAGATGCATTTAGGCTTCTACAATTTACAACCTACTTGATGCACATTAATATGAAAAAGAGTATATGCGGTTCTTGTTGTCAAAAACGTCAAAGTTTTTTTACAGTTTCTTTAGAGTTAAGTAAAAATAAAAAAAAGTAATTACGCCAATGCCGAAAGGGCTTTTATGGTCAAAACGTATTTGCTTTTTTATTACTTAATACTTTTTGTTGTTTTTAATAAAAACCAATTAAATTTTTAATTACTTGAAAGAACTTGGAAAAATATTTAAAAATCGCATTCAACATTTTGTTGTGTAATAAATATTATTGAAATTGTTTTTTATTATAATAATAATAATGAAACGGCTTTAGTGAATTGTACGTACAAGTAAATACAACTCGGGAGGCGAGGTCTAGCAACTGTTATTCATACTTAACCCTCTTAACAAAAAAAAAAAGTAAAATAAAAAATTGCAATAAAGTTTAACTAAAATTAAGAAAAACTATTTAAGTAGAAATAACAGGAATTAAAACAATAAGAAAATAACAAAAAGCAAAAGTAAAAAAATAAAATGTATTTTTATCTTTTTGCGAAAATTATTCACTGATTTTTTTTTTAAATAAATGAGAAGAACTGTATAACTTAAATATTGCTGTTTTAAACTTTGGTAATGACAGGTCAGCAATATTACGAACAGAAACTTGATGACAACTTTTTCTCGAGTGACATATTTTACGGAGATTGGGTGGTGAAGCAGTAATAAACATTTTATACAGGTTGTTCCGTTTTTGTTGTTACAAATTTAAGCAGGTGATAGAATATTCAATTTTAAGATAAAAGTTTCCTATAAACAGGTATCAAAGAATATTACGTAGGGAGCTACATCTCCTAAAAGAAGTACATTTTTCAATGGATTTTTTCCAATATTTTAGCAACCATTGTAGATAAAAATACAACCTTTGGTACAACTATAACCTTTATACACCCAAAACATTCAAAGATAAAATAAAATGTTTACTCAGGGGCGTCCTAAACTGGAGGGGTTTAGGGTAAAAGTACCTTAACTATTTTGACATGAATAATAAATAATGAGACCTTAATTAAGGTTGGAAAGCACCAATGACTCGCATAGTTTTTTTCGAAGTTTAAAATTCAAAATGTGATAATATTACAATTTTGAGATTAATTTCCGAGTTGATATTTTTTTATTTCTTGTAGAAATGCAAATTGATGAACATTTACTCGAATTTAAATTCAAACCAATGCTTTTAGAGAATAAGAAAATTTTGTTCAGATCTTGATTAATACAAATGCAAGCTCGTTCTACATCGTCAGGATCAAAATGATAATACAACTCTGTATCATCTGCAAAGGCAGATGGATGTTAACATATTTTACCGATTCTAATATTTCTGCGTTGTATATTAAAAATACATATCATAGTTATGATTTTTTCGTAAGGGTAAACAAAACGATAATCCGGAAAAGACGTTGTGTGCCGACTCTGAATCTACAATGTTCTTAGTTTTTTGAGCTCGGTTCGTTTTCGGATTAACCGGATTAACCATTATTACTAATATACAGGGTTCAAGTATAAGTTTTTTTGTGAAATTTATACTATAATTTGCATTTCTTAAAATTAAATTTATTTTATAGAAAACCTTATATAAACGGCAACATAAAAAGAAAGCTTAAATGTACTATAAAAACTGTATAAAATATTAGTGCGTGAAAAAGGCATTATTCTTATTCTATGCACAATTTTGATTGTTTTTTTTTTTCAATTCTACTTTTTACATGGCAATATTAAAGGAAATATAATAATGTTTTTTCTCCTAGGCGATATTTCTCATCTGTCCCAACTGTAATTATGTATATTTATGCATTTACAGGCACACCATTTTGGTGCTTATTGGATATCGTACCTATAAAAAATGAAAAAAGGGAAGTGGTCCTATTCCTCGCATCACACAAAGACATAACGAACACAAAAATGGCCGAAATGTCGGAATCTGAATTATATGATAGTGGTAAGAATACGTTATCCTAAAGTTAAATCAATTCATTTCTGTCATACAATGGCCGTAAAAAATGGGTTTTATTCAATGAATGCAATGACAAAGCAAACAGAAAAATCACATGCAAATGGAACTGATGATGGTCGCGTCTCCAAGAAGCAATAAACCTACGAGTAAACTAGTGAAAATAGACATGGTATCGCTCACATTTTTTATAAAAAAAATTAAATTTCTACAACTTCTTCTATTAGCTTGTTTTGTATCTCTAATCTTATTGAGCGTTTAAAAAATGTTCAAAATATGAACCAAAGCAAAAATTTTTGCTCTAATTTTATTTCGTGCTCACCGGTCAATACAATAATCAGTTGATTAAGTATTTTTGATAAATTTTATTGGCATAGTGGGTCTTGAACATCACAGCATCATTCTTTTGTTTCGATCAAGACAAATCTGTTTTATTCAGTCACCCAGTTCGTCGTAACAAAATTGGATTTACATTAAAAGTATTTTTTATTACACCGAAAATGTCAAAAAGATTGTGCAAAACCGATCCCAATTTGTTTTATTATACAGGGCTTTCATTTCAAAAGGAGCCAGTCTCAATAAGTTTGACATTGAGTAAATGTATTTTCAAGCAAAAACAGGTCGATTAGTATTGCTAGGGGGAAGTTCAAAACCAACATCAGTTACATTTTAGGTTTCATCCCCTAGTCGCTAGCCACCCCTACTTTAAAATTTTAAATGGCACTTCCTAGTTTTTGAAACATTTTCGGAAAGCGAAAAAATGTGCGTATCTAACTGTTAAAGAAAAAATTTTTGTTGATTTGTTTTTTAGTTAGCGGCGGTTTTATTTTAGAAATTCTGTTGATTCAACTCAATTTAATTTAAATAAAAAATATGTCGATTCGGGTTGCGATGGGAGAATTCAAAACCAACATAAAATACGTTTTAGGTTTCATCCTCTAGTCACTAACCACCTTTACTTTAATATTTTAAAGAGCACACCCGACTTTTTGAAACATTCTTGGAAAGGGGGAAAAAACTTATTTTACCGTACATAAAAAAATTTCGATTTTATTTTTTATTTAAATTAAATTGAATTCAATCAGGCTACTAGGACTAAAAATTTCAAAAATAAAACTGTCTAACTCAAAAACGAATTGGCAAAATATTTTTTTTATTTACGGTTAGATAATATTTTTTCTGTCCTTTCCAAAAATGTTTCAGAGAGTTGGGGGTGCTCTTAAAAATTTTAAAGTAAGGGTGGTTAGCGACTAGGGGATGAAACCCAAAACGTATTTAATGTTGGTTTTTAACTCTCTCATCGCAACCTAAATGACCCAAATCGATATATTTTTTATTTAAATTAAATTGAGTTGAATCAAAGGCTACTAGGACTAAAAATTTCTAAAATAAAACCACCCCTAACTGAAAAACGAATTGTCAAAATTTTTTTTTTTTTTTAAGTAGGGGTGGCTAACAACTAGGGGGTCAAGCCTAAAATGTAACTAATGTTGATTTTGAACTTTTCTCTCGCGATCCTAATCGACCTGTTTTTGTTTGAAAATATACAGGGTGTCTCAATGAAAACGAGCCACTCCAAATACCTCAAAAACTAAAAAGATTTTCCAAAAACGCTGAAACAGGTCAATTTTGTTTCTGAAGGGGATATTTTTTGCCGTAATTTTTAAAACACCTCCAGTAACTCCCTAACCTTTACACACCCTAACTTTAAAAATTTAAATAGCACTACCCCACTTGTGGCACATCAAATGAAAGCTACTTTAACAAGTTTTTCAAAACTTTATTTATTTATAATATTTATGAGACACAAGGTGTTCTAATAAAAACGAACCACCTTAGAAAAAATTTTCAAAAAAAAACTTGAAACAGGTTAATTTTGTTTCAAACGCAATTTTAAAAGCACCCCCACTAACTCTTTAACTTCTCCCACCTCAATTTTGTAATGTCAAATAACACCGACTCACTTGCGACAGATCAAATAAAAGCGTTTTTGAAAGGTTATTTGAACCTCTTTTCTACAGTTGAAAAGGATATCTATTCATAAGATATCCACAAAAGGTAATGTTTCTAATTATTATAGTTCTCGCATCGAATAAAGATCCCAGGACCGCCCACTTTTTCGACCAATAAGATGGTAGCACAAAAGATGTTTCAATATGTACAAATAACTATGTACAGGGTGCTGCATTTTGGATGTCCGAATAGGGAATCTCCGAAACTAAGAGGTCTAGCCAAAAACGAGTTATACATTCTGGGGCTCATTTTTTGGGAAATAATATTGGTGAAAACTGCATCTCGCTATCGTCTTTTGTTTTCGACTTACAGACAAAAGTTAACTTTTGGCAAAATCTAAAAAAATTCATATTTTCGTTATTATAGAAGATACGGATTTGAAATAAAGACATTATACAGGCACTTTTTACGTAGAATTTAATAATGTAGTTAATAATTTTTTTCAGTTGTTTGTTTAGCCGTAATAAAATAAACTTGTATTTTTTTAAATGGGAATCATAGATGGCTATGTCATTTTTAGAAAACTTGTTTTTTTCTTATCTAAAAAAATATATATTTGTAACAAATTATTATAATACATTTTTAGCAAAAAATTATCTTTGATTTTTGTTCGCAGTTGGCCATGAAAAAATGTTGCATCTTCAACTAAAAGGATTTAAACTATATTATTCAACCAGTGTCACTAATGAAAGAGTTTTCTAAGTACTAAGTAACGAAAAAAATGCAAAATAAATCGTTAATCAACTTATTGACGACTAATAACATTTTGTTGTTTTTAAACAAGCTAACATTAGCATTGTAACTTCTAGTGATACATAGTGTTGTAAAAAAAGCCGCTTTAATTCGTCAATAAAATAAATTTTATATGACACAAAAATGACGATATGGCAATTCAAATACCCAAATTCCGTCAATGTGGAACGTTATCCTACCTCCATTAGATCATCAAAAAAATGTTTTTTCTAATTGTGTTGACTGCTGACACGTTTGTTTTTTCTATTTTTGGATTTCTTAAAAATATGTAATAATTTTGTTCTGAGGCGCTCGCATATTTGTTCAATACTTGTAACGTATCGTATTTTTTAAATTGTTATAATTTTATCATCTATTTTTTCATCAGTTCACAAAATTCTTATTGATTATTATTTACACATTTGGAGTGAAAGAGTTTTTCCATGGCCAACTATTATTAAACAAAACATGTATTTTAGTTTTTAAGTATAGTTTTAAAAAAATATTCTGTTACAAATATATATGTTTTATATCAGAAAAAAATAAGCTTTTCAAAATTGCCATAGCCGCCTATGATTTCTATTTAAAAAAATACAAGTTTATCTTATTACGGCTAAACTAATCTTGAAAAAAAATGTTAACTACATTATTAAATTCCTCGTAAAAAAGTGCCTGTATAATGTCTTTATTTCAAATCCTTATCTTCTATAATAACGAAGATATGAAGTTTTTTAGATTTTGCCAAAATGTTAACTTTTGTCTGTAAGTCGAAAACAAAAGACGATAGCGAGATGCGGTTTTCACCAATATTATTTTCTCAAAAAATGAGCCCCAGAATGTATAACTCGTTTTTGGCTAAACCTCTTAGTTTCGGAGATTCCCTATTCGGACATCCAAAATGCAGCTCCCTATATATTAGTATGTGAGTTTTTGCACGATGACAATTAAATGATTCAAAAGTCAAAATTTTGTCGAAACTTGAAATTTTAACACGATTTCGTTACGTTTTGTCTCCCAAGAAAAAAGAAATAAAAGTGAATTTAATAATATATCGTCGGGTTACTGCAAAAACCAGATAACTCCATATGCGTTGTTTGCAGTAATCCTTCATTAAAACTGCAATTCTACAGTTGTATTACTTATTGGTCACAAGTAACATGCTTAAAACAATTTTGTAAACTTTTCTAGTTATAGTACAACCTCTTATTCTATGAGAACAACACTCTTAATCAGAAAGGGAACTCATTTATGTGTTTATCATAAATCAGTGGAAAATGGGGTTATCTGGTTTTTGCAGTAACCGAATGATATTTGAGTATTTATTTCATTAATTCATGAAGTTTGGGACAATAGTTATAGTAATTAGACACATCCCTAATTAAACAGGTAAGCATACATAATAACTTGAGGATCTATCATCCATCGCAGAACAAGCCAACATCAGGTTCTTCATCACTTCCCTCAGCCGTACAATAAATTCACGGTCTTGTTGGGTAATAGGCTTTCCTAGCAGTTTAAAAGATTGTTATAGAAAGCAAAGGAACCTATTACGTACCTTTGTTACCTCGAAAAGTCATAGTCACTTCACTTCGCGATCGTGAACGGTAAACACGTGTGCCATAGCGAGAAATTATCATAGTAATTTTGTGGGTGAAAACATCTTATCTATCGGTGAGACACAATTTGAAGCCATCCTTATCAATTAGTTTCCCTTCTTTCGATTACATTGATAAGAYCTTATCACATCACCAATATCACTTTCTTTTCACCCATCGGTAACCAGCGTGCTTCTGCGTTGGGCAACCAACAATTCATAGACATGTTTTCCATGTCACAYAAACATATTAATTATGAATAAAAATCCCAAAAAACCACCACCCAAAATCATGAACACCCTACCAAAAGAAACCCAAGGTATCATCCTAACTGCAAATGATAACCTAAAACTTGAAGACTATATCGACTCACTAGCAACCATCATCGACCCACTTCAAATTCATTTCGCCTCTCGCATCTCTAACCAAAGAATATGTATCTTTCTTGCAAATGAACAATTAGTAGAAGAAATAGTAACTCAACATAAAGTACTAACCATAAATGGTACTAACATYGAAGTCAGACGACTGATAACTCCAGCCAAACGAATCATTTTTTCAAATGTTAGCCCCATAATTCCTGCAAATAGATTAGAAGAAATAGTAAGAAATTTGAAATTGGTTCCTGTCTCACCGGTTACATTCCTC